GGTATTCATCCTTCTCCTGAAGCACTGAAACATACTGCTTCAGTAGGTGGAAGTCCTGTGGCAGCAAGCTTTAGAGAATATAGAAATACATCTGACAATATTACTTTAAATATCCCCCATCACACTCTCTCTTCCCTATATGCACCATAAAAGAAAGACCTTGTGCACCTTTTTTACTGCTGCACCCTCTCTCCTAGGATAGTGAGTGGAACATGGGAAAGACATGCATGAATGGGGCACAGCCACATTCTGCATTAGTTCAGAGTGACTTTAAGAAGATAATTATGCTTCTACTAAAAAATTATAAAGGTGAATAGGGATTAGTATTGAATCACCTAAATCTTATGTTTACTCATGACACTATTTTCTCTGAGTCCTGAATTAACTCTTTCATGTGGTTATTGATCAATGTTACATAAAGCTAATACTAAATCTTCAATCTCTTCCCTCACCAAGTGGAGCTACTGCATAGATAATTCAAATTATCAGATAAATTTGTACTGACATGCATATTTTTTTTAGGTTGAGGATTTTCTGGCCCTAAGGTTATTTTTAACCAATGGGATTTGGTCTTGCAGATTACACGGTTTCATTAATACTGCCACTGCCTAGAGGAAAATTTCTTCTTACAAGTTGCTATGAGTACTTCAGAATTTGAAGAATTTTAGATTATGAAAGTAATATTAACTTATTGTAGAAAACTTGAAAATTGCATATGATAATTTGTGTTTGTTTTTGCTGAATGGGTGATTGATATATGCATATTTGGAGAAATGAATTGTTCTACATAAGAAAGGGTAAGATATTTAGAGGTCTGGGATGGGGAAGATCTTGAACTGAGGAAACCAGGAATGAGCTTGTCCAGATGCTTCCCAGAGAAGGGAACCTTGTTTCACTTGTAGCTGGAAAGAACTGAGATGTGGCACATATTAATCAGGGTTCCCCTGAAAAAATAGAAGTAATAGGAGATATATTGCCTTACATAACATTAACCAATAACCAGATGAAACAGTTGATTCTGGACTCAGAAAAAAATCATATATAGAGAAAGATTTATTATGAGAAATTGGCTTGTAACCACAATTATGGAGGCTGAAAAGTCCTACAATCTGCCATCTCCAAGCAGGAGACCCATGAAAGCTGGTGGTGTAGTAACAGTCCAAGTTCAAAGACCTGAGAACCAGGAGAAATGATTATGTAAATTCTATTACAGAGGCTCAAGAACCAGAGAGCCAATGGAGTAAGTTCCAGTCTGAGAGCAGAAGACTGATATTTCAGCTCAAACAGACAAGGAAAGAATTTTCTTTTCCTCAGCATTTTTGTCCTATTCAGGCCCTCAGTGGATTAAAGGATGTCCACACAGTTTGGGGAGGGCAATCTGCTTTACCCAGTCTACCAATTCAAATGCTAACCTCCAGAAATACCCTCACAGACATACCTAGAAATAATGTTAACAAGGCATTTCCACACCCCATGGCCCAGTCATGTTGACAGATAAAATTAACTATCACAAGGCACATCTGAGGAAAGTATAATATACGAAGTGCTGTAAACTGTACAGTGTAAAACTCTCCTCTGTCTCTCCTACAAAATCTTCAGTAAAAATCAACAATTGGTCCTAATAAAATCCTCCTGGGGACAAAGAGGTATTGAGTCTTATTTAGTGATAGGTTCAAAGCTATGACAGAGACTAACATAGAAAAACATAAAAAGAAGAAAATGTAAATGCTCTGTAGTTCCATGTCACAGAAATGATCAGTTGATCTTGTATTTTCTTCCTTGTTTTATGTATGTATATAGATATATGTGAGTGTATATATAACTGGGAGTGAGCTGTATAAACAATTTTCTATTCTACACTTTTCACCTAATATTGAGTCATGACAAGAAATCACTAATAGATACTGTCAAACAATTTTCCAAAGTGGTCATACCAATTAAATCCCATCAGCAATGTATGAGAGTTACAGTTGCCTAACATCCTTGTCAACAGTTAGCATTGTCAGATTGTTTTAATTTTAGCCATTCTGGTAGGTGTGTAACTGTATTTCATTGTGGTTTTAATATGAATTTTCCTAATGACTAATATTAGGTTTCTTTTGATTTATTAGGCATTTAGATGTATTCCTTGCAAAGTGCCTGTTCAAACTTTGCGCTTTTTTTTATCCATTAAGTTGGATATATGTATGCCAATATCTTTTCCCACTCTGTGTGTATTCCCTTTTCACTCACTAAATGGTATGTTCAGGCTTTTGGTCACGATGGTGGCACAGGTAAACACAGCTTGCCTCCTCAGACAACCACATCAAAATTACAGCAAAACTATAGAACAACCACCATTTAGAACTATCAGAAATTGAGCTAAATGGAAGTCCTACAGCTACAGAATTAAAGAAGAAATCACATCAAGACTTGTACCGGGGCAGAGACGTGGAATGGGTTAGTCCCACACCCACATGTGACAGATAAAAATCAGGAGGGATATCTCAGGAGTGAGGGGTCCCAGGCCCACATCAAGCCTCCCAGCCCAGGGTTCCAGAGTCAGGAAGACAAGTCTCCACAACTACTAGCTGTAAAAACCAGAGGGAATTGAGGCTGTAGAAGACAGAAATTGCTGGAATCCCAGACAGTTCCTCTTAGCCCACACACAGACTTACTCAGACTCACTCCCTCTGAGCTCCAGTGCCAGGGTAGCAGATAGAAATGCATCAGACACATACAGGGAGAAACTCTATTGTCTGGCATCAGAGTGAGGGCTGGAGGGGCAGCTTTCTTCCAGACAGAAATGCTGACAGAAGCCATTGTTCCTTTTCTGAGACCTCCCCTCAGCAGGTGGGTGCCATATCTGAGACTACATCGACCTGGCTCACAGTTTGCCCCACCCTGGTGATTCCCTGAGACCCTGTCCCACCCAACTCTTAGGCCCACCCTAGCTATTTACAGTGGCTTTTTCACATGAATGGCTTGTCTTGGTCCATGCTTCAGATTTTCCTAAATTCTCTCAAACAAGCAGCATCTGGCTTCACCAACCCCTATACCTCTCACTAAGTTGTCCCAGTCCTGGCACTAACAGCAGCTGGCCTTGGTTCATGGCTTAAAGTCTCTCCTGGACACCTCCAAACCAAGCACAAGTAGCAGCTGTCTGCAGATTGCTTTGCAGCTAATGTTGTGTGACCCTCAAATAGAATCCAGGCAGTGACTGACCTTGGATGTGCCAACAGCAACCAAGGCTCAACTACAAGAGGAGGGTGTACACAGCCCACACAGTGGGCACACCTTGAGTACCTAGCTTGGGTAATAGGAGAAGCTGTGCCACTGAACCCTACATGACACCTACTACATTAAGCCACTCTGTCAAGCCTGGGAGACATAGTAGCTCTACCTAATACATAAAAACAAACACAGGGAGGCTGCCAAAATGAGGGGACAAACATGGCTCAAGTGAAAGAAAAAAACAAAACTCCAGAGAAAGAACTAAACAAATGGAGAGGAGAAATCTATTAGATGCAGAGTTCTAAGCACAGGTTATAAGGATACTCAAGGAACTTAGTGAGGACCTCAAGAGCATAAAAAAGATCCAGTCCTTTTTTATATCCAGATTTGGAACATAAGTAAGAAAAAACTACCAATCAGAACAAGAAAAAAAAAAAGAATCCAAAAGAAAAAAATGAGGATAATATAAGGAGCCTCTGGGACAACTTCAAGCACACCAATATTTGCATCATGGAGGTGCTGGAAGGAGAAGACAGAATGCAAGAAATTGAAAACCTATCTGAAAAAATAATGACAAAATACTTCTCTAACCTGGTGAAGGAAATAGACATACAAGTCCAGGAAGCACAGAGTATCCCAAAAGAGATGAACCCAAAGAGGCCTACACTAAAACACATCATAATTCAAATGCCAAATATTAAATACAAAGAGAGACTCTCAAAAATAACAAAAGAAGTTAGTTACCTACAAGGGAGCCCCCATAGACTGTCAGCTGATTTCTCAAAAGAAACTGCAGGCCAGAAGGTTTTGGCAAGAAATATTCAAAGTAATGAAAAGCAAGGACCTACAAACAAGATTACTCTACCCAGCAAAGCTATCATTTAGCTTTGCTAAATCAAAGGAGAGGGAAAGAGATTCCCAGACAAGAAAAAGCTAAAAGTGTTCATCATCACCAAACTAGTATTATATGAAATTTTAAAGGGTCTTCTTTAAGAAGTAGAAGATCAAAAATATGAACAATAAAATGGCAATAAATACATATCTATCAAAAATTGAATCTAAAAAGCAAAATAAACAAACAAGCAGAACAGAAACAGAACCATAGATACAGAGAACATTTTGATATTTAACAGATAGGAGGGTGTTTGGGAGGATGAGTGAAAAAGGTGAAGGGATTAAGGAGTAAAAATTGATACTCACAGAATAGTCATGGGGATGTAAAGTATAGCATAAGGAATAGAGTAGCCAAAGGACATATATGTAGGACCCATAGACATGGGCAATGATATAAGGATTACCTGAGGGAGTGGGCAGGCTGGGTGGAGAGAAACAAAGGGGGAAAATCTGGGACAACTGTAATAGAAAATCAATAAAATATAATTTAAAAAAATAATAAATGGTATCTTTGGATGAACAGATGTTTTTCATTTTAACATGGTCCATTGATCCAGTTTTTCCTTTAATGGTGAACGCTTTTTGTGACTGTTTAAATAATCTTTGCCCACTCCATGATCATGAGGATAGTCTTCTATGTTTTCCTCCAGAGTTTTGTTGTTTTCTCTTTCATATTTAGATCTGTAATCCACTTAGAACTGATTTTTGTGTATGGTGTGAAGTGGGGACCCAAATACATTTCATTCCATGCAGGCAGTCAATTCTCCCAACACCATTTAATAGAAAAACTATCTCTTGTTCTCTGCTTTACAATACTTATTGTTTATCATTAATCAGATGACTGTGCATATGTGGTTCTCTTTCTTTATTCTCTTCCATTGGTTGGTTTGTTAGTTCATGTATTTTTTTTATTTAATTTGCTTGCCATCATTTGCAGGGACCATGCTAATATTCTCTGTACCATTTTAATTTTAGTATATGTGCTGCAGAAGCTGGCACTAGTTTGTGTATTCTTGCACTAATATCACAATGTCTTTGTTACTATAGTTTGTTTTCAAGATTATTTTATTTGACAATTTTTATAATGGGATATTTGGAATGTTTTATTATGTCTATTTATTAATTCCTTATCAGTAAAGCATAGTAATCCTTACAACATCTGTTGTAACTATCTTTCCTTTTGTCATTTGAGTTTTGATATTATTTAGGGTTTTTCTTGCCAAAGTACTAAATTCTTAAAAAGTGAGTTTGATATTCTGTGATCCCCCACCCTATTTTTAATCTTACAAACTTTTCCCCAATCCCCATTAAGTTTAAATCTAATGTTTATATTCGCAATATGGAGGGTGTGTAACTACAAAAAATAAAGATCATTTTTCTGTAAAATAATCAATAATCCTCCTCACTTTCTAGATTAGGAAGTTGAGGTTCAGGAAGAGGAAGAAGGAATCAGTCTTGCTTAAAATTAGGGAAGTGAGAAGATATTTGCTTACTTCTCTGAATCCCATCTTCATGGGCCAGTTACCCTTGGTAGGAAAAAAAGCCCCCCTATTTCATTCGATTTCTCTGAGCAGGTGATTGCCCAATTAACAGAGCAAATTGCTATGTTAGCATTAGAAGGATTCCGTAGGCCTGGGTTTCAAGGACTGGAACTGACACTGACAGCCATCCAGGATCCCCCCGCCCTGTTCCATAAGTGGTCAGCACTCAGGTAATTGACAACTTGCTGGGACAGTGCAATATCCTGGTCTTCCGAAGGCCTGCCTCAACCCTGTGGTTCACAGGAGGCTGCCTGGGCGCTACTGACCAAATCAATGAGGTTTATTAATACACTTGGTCAACACAGTAATGGAGAGTCAAATCACAGAATTCCCTGTTTAATGTCCTTTCAGGAAGTGCAGGTAAAAGAAGGTAGTTTAGCTACTTGACTTCTTTTTGACAAAACCAAACCCTTGTAGTGATTATTTAGCCAGAGGAGAAGCCCAACCAAAGCAGAAATGTGGTTTTCATTCTAGCTTTATTTTGATCCTGTGCTCATTTTTTTCTTTGCAGGGGAAACAAGGGGAAGCCATAAAACCCTTTTGGCACTACATGTGTTGTACTTAGTCCATGGCCAAAGAGAGTTTTATGGGAAAGTTTGCTCTGTGCCAGTGAAGCATTTTCTTTTTCATCATTTTAAAAACAAAAACAAAAACATTAACTAAAACAAATCTCTTATCTCCTCCAATAAGAAGAAGAAGGAGAAGGGAAAAGAGAGGAGGAAGAAGGAGAGGGAGAGAAGGAGAAGAAGAAAACCCCACAGAATCACAACGCTACTTGACTTAATATGAAAGTTTTCATAATTTAGTCTTTCCCCAACATTAATGCAGAGGACTGATTGAAGTTATGAAACATTGAAAACTGGCTTTTCAGCCACTTAATGTCCTGTTCACATATCCTTGGAGGAAAGTCAAAAGGGATTGAAATCTTCTTCTGAAAGACTAAAAGATGACTATCTTCTTTGGTTCTACTGTTTGACTCTAAATCTCTAGCTTTTGAAAAAAGTAGAATAACCCAGTTCCAACAGCAACAGCTTTTTTTCCTTCTTCTTAAAATTGTTAAATTATATTCATATATTCATATTCAATCTCATATTTGAGAGGAAAACTTTTAATGAAGTTTTCCTGGGATAAAATGCAAATATTCTTAAAGATTAATACTAATCATTGTTACCTTAGCATGAATGATTTTACCAGGCCTCCTTTCCTAGTCCAGTTTTAACAGGAAAAAGTTACATACTCTGCTGGGATCCAGTCTCAATGGACAAGGATGAGAAGAACGATGGAAGGAGCAGGAAGAAGTTACAGAACCCATGACACAAGCAGAAAACAGGCATGATAGTATCTAGTGTACACCCCTTCAAAAACACACCTTTGTTTTATATCTTCTTTCTTCTTCCAACAAAATAAGTGAATTTTTCTCTCAATAAGGATAAAATTGGGGCAAGAATTAAAAACCATAGTATTTTGGTAAGGGAAAAACTAGGGAAATGGTAGGCAAGGAGGTATTTCCTGATGGGGATACCCATTCAAGGTCCTTCAAGACTGAGAAGTCACCTTGCACTGCCTCTCCAGAGAGAGCCAAAGGCTTCCAAAAGTCATGGTAAACCTCACCCTGGCCCAGCCACTCAGCTGCTCAGCTCTCCTGGGCCTTGTCAACTGTCTTCTGGTCTAGGCAAAGGCACAACCCATACCACTTCCACCTTTGTGGGAGGTGGTCATACATCTTTCTCCCAACTTCTATGAAAAAATTGATCTTCTATAAGGAACAACTTATAGCAAATTTCTTATTTATTATCAGATCTTCCTTGGAAAACCAAGATTACAAGAACATTTGCAAACAAGGATAAAAGTGTTTGGTTAATCATGTCCTTAATAAGAGGAAAATACATTTGGCTTTCTCCTAAAACCAAATAAATATTAACTAAGAAACATTTCAGGATTCTCTTTTCAAAACACTACAGTGACGATTTTTAAAAGCTGAGTTATGAACACAGAGTCAGTACGGCTTTGCATGTAGGTTTAAAAACTCTTTGAGCCCACATAAAATGTTTTGTGCATAGTAGGTATTCAGTCAGCATTGATCAATTAGTCACATTTATTGACTCCATTCCCTCTTACTCTACTGCATGCTTCTAAAGTAAATTAATATATTACCAAGAATTCAGTGACCCTCTCAACTTTTTCAGACAAAAATTCCAACAAGAGTCAAACCAAACTAAAGAAAAATAAAAGAGTACATGAACCTCTTGTGTTTTGGTGTTTGACCTCTATTATTTTGTGATTACTGTCTGATTTTCTTTGGGCTCAGCCTGATTTATTTGAGGGCTTAGAATTATGTTCACTCTTTAAATAAATGGGTATGAAATTAATTAACTCTTTTTTAAAATACTAAAATGCCTAAAGCACTTATTCTAAAGAAGCAAAATCAAAACTAAGGCCCAAATAATTTTTTGAAAGGCCCAGATGCTCTGAAAAGTAAATCTGAACTACAGCCCCATTCAAGTTGGCCAAGAAGACATCTTCTTCCTCCACCTTTCATGGAAATACTTCTCTGTCCTTGGCGTGCCAGCTAAGGGCTGACACCAAGATAGGATATTTGAAAGCAGGGGAAAACAGAAAGTAGACACATTAATGCATCTCATTGTATACCTGAATGCCATGAGTCAATATATGGCTTTTTATTTCTGGAAATTTGATTTCATAACTAATTGAGAACCCCTATCCTCAACACCTGCACCTTGAGATTTGGAGGGAAGGTCCTTCACTTCCAAGTAGATTCCCTGGCAACTTGAGAAGATTGGCAAAGCACCACTCCTTTCTCAATTATAACAAACTGATTGAAAATGATAATATCTTGGTACAACCCAGAGCTTTTTAGACCATGTTCAATAAAGCTAAAGTAGAATTCCGTCTCCATTTAGGCCAGGAGTTACCAAACTTGATTTGAAAATGGTCTGTCCATCTCCACTAATGAACTCTGGCTTGATAGTGTGAAAACAGTCATAAACAATATATAAATGGATGACATGGCGATGTCCCAGGAAAAATTTATTTACAAAGATTGTAAAGATGATGGGGCCTAGGTTTGTCTGTAGACCATAGTTTGCCAACACTTAATTTAGACAAAAATAATATTGATTAATATAATAACAATAATTATAATTAACAACTAATGTGGCCAACCAATCAGAACAGACAAAACATTGGTGAATATTGGTTAAAATCAACCAGTGATCAGGGTAGTAAATTGTCCTAGATTATATAAACAGTCCACATAGTAGGGCTGGCATTTTCATACATATGATCTGACTCCAGAGCCCATACTTGATATATGCTTCTATAGGCCAGAGACTGTTTCCATTGTAAGCTTAAACCCCTATCAGTGCTTAGTCACAACTGGGCAAGAGGAAGCCATTCATACCACTTTCAAAAAATATTCAAAACACAGGTGAGCCAATAGATACTTAGAAATATTTCAGTATGTTGCTACTAGATTGAAAATAATTTAAATTTTTTAATGTGGATTCTTTTGGTTTCCCTCTACTTTAATTCTTTTCCCTTTTCTATCCCTGTGGCTTATTCCCACACTTCTTTCTCTGCTCAGGTCTTTGTTCAAATACTGCCTTACTGTGGGTCCTTCCTGACCACCAAGACATTAATAAAATACCAGCAGCTCCTGCTCTTAATTCTCTTTTCTCTCTTGACTTGCTCAATTTTTCTCCATAACACTGAACACCATCTGATGTACTATGATACATTTTGAATTTATTTTTTTATGTCTTCCAGTTAGAATGTGAACTCCACAAAGTTAGGAGCCTTTTTTTATTGGCTATATCCTCAGCACCTAAAACAGCACTTCCTCAATGACTGAATGAATACCGTTTACAGAAGAGAGGTCACATGGTACATTAAGCACTGGATTTAGAACAAGAGGTGGGTAGGGATTCCAGCTCAGCCACTTACTTGTATGACTTCAGACAAGTTTACTAGTTGAAGCCTCGGAGGCTGCAGAAAGAGCAAAATCCCTGCTATGGGAGCATGCTAGTCAGGGCAGAGTACCTGAAGCACAGAGAGCAGGTAGAACATGGTAAGAGATCAGAGAGATAAAGGTTGAGAGGCAGACTTTAAGGACTTTGGGTTTTTCTCTGAGTGAGAATAGAAGCCAATTGAGGGATGTGATACACAGGAATAATGTTATCTGTTTTAAGTTTTACAAAGACTGTTTAAGAGTGAAAACAGAAGTAGAGAGACCAATTGGGAAGCTACCGCAGTAATTCAGGTGGGAGATGATGGTGGCTTGGGCCCGGTTAGTAGTATCGGAGGTGGTAAAAGATTGTCAGATTCTGGATTTATTTTGAAAACATAGCCAACAAGGTTTGTTAGTGGTTTGGGTGTGAAATGTGAGAGGAAAAGAAGAGTCAATGATGATTCCAAGGATTTGAAGGAAGACTATGGGAG